GCTGCTAAATTTGTGATTTTCTTTGACCATTTCAATTTCTTCACAGTACACGTGAACATATGGATGCCAAAGAGAGGAGCGAAGAAGGAAATAAGCAAGGAGATTACCTTTTTGCCCTTGAATTTAACAACTTATGGATGAAATTTTAACGGAGGACTAAATTGAGTAAGATTTTCATAGTTGAGGACTTAATTGGGTAAAAATAATAGTCGAGGATCAAATTGGTAATTTCGCTATAGTCAAGGGACCATTTTGGGTATTAACTCATAACAAAATCCTGAAATTTTAACTTCCCGCCCAATTCCTAAAAAATCTATCTTCCTAATAAAATATATTGATTTCTACTTTCCCATTCGTACAATAATTTTGTGTTAAAATTATATTCTAATATTATAAAATAGTGTAATACAATCTATACTATATATATTAACAAAATCCTGAAATTTTAACTTCACGCCTAATTCCTAAAAAATCTCTCTTCCTAATAAAATATGTTGATTTCTACTTTCCCATTCGTACAATAATTCTGCCTGAAAATTCTATTCTAATATTATAAAATCGTGTAATACAATCTATACTATATATAATAACAAAATCCTGAAATTTTAACTTCTCGCCCAATTCCTAAAAAATCTCTTTTTCTAATAAAATATATTGATTTCTACTTTCTCATTCGTACAATAATTCTGCGTTAAAATTCTATTCTAATATTATAAAATCGTGTAATACAATCTATACTATATATAATAACAAAATCTTGAAATTTTAACTTCACGCCCCATTCCTAAAAAATCTCTCTTCCTAATAAAATATATTGATTTCTACCTTCCCATTCGAACAATAATTCTGCCTGAAAATTCTATTCTAATATTATAAAATCGTGTAATACAATCTATACTTCTATACTATATATAATAACAAAATCCTGAAATTTTAACTTACCGCCCAATCCCTAAAAAATCTCTCTTCCTAATAAAATATGTTGATTTCTACTTTCCCATTCGAACAATAATTCTGCCTGAAAATTCTATTCTAATATTATAAAATCGTGTAATACAATCTATACTATATATAATAACAAAATCCTGAAATTTTAACTTCCCGCCCAATTCCTAAAAAATCTCTCTTCCTAATAAAATATATTGATTTCTACTTTCCCATTCGTACAATAATTCTGCGTTAAAATTCTATTCTAATATTATAAAATCGTGTAATACAATCTATACTATATATAATAACAAAATCTTGAAATTTTAACTTCCCGCCCAATTCCTAAAAAATCTCTCTTCCTAATAAAATATATTGATTTCTACTTTCCATTCGTACAATAATTGTGTCTGAAAATTCTATTCTAATATTATAAAATAGTGTAATACAATCTATACTATATATAATAACAAAATCCTGAAATTTTAACTTCCCGCCCAATTCCTAAATAATCTCTCTTTCTAATAAAATATATTGATTTCTACTTTCCGATTCGTACAATAATTCTGCCTGAAAATCCTATTCTAATATTATAAAATCGTGTAATACAATCTATATCTATATCTATATTATATATAATAACAAAATCTTGAAATTTTTAACTTCCCGCTCAATTCCTAAAAAATCTCTCTTCATAATAAAATATATTGATTTCTACTTTCTCATTTGTACAATAATTCTGCGTTAAAATTCTATTCTAATATTATAAAATCGTGTAATACAATCTATACTATATATAATAACAAAATCTTAAAATTTTAACTTCACGCCCAATTCCTAAAAAATCTCTCTTCCTAATAAAATATATTAATTTCTACTTTCCCATTCGTACAATAATTCTGCCTGAAAATTCTATTCTAATATTATAAAGTCGTGTAATACAATCCATCCCCCGCAAACTGCCGTAGGCGGTTTGGCCCATCAATTTCTAAAAAAAATGCTTTATTAAATAGTTTCTAAGAAAAAACTATTAGAACATTATATTTTATTAATGAATTTTTAAAATTTTTTATTAAAATATTGTCCCGTGCATTATTTAATAATCTTTCTTTATAATTGGTCAAATTATTTAATTATGGTAAATTAGGGAATAATTAATGATGGTAATAGAAATCCTTGAAGAATATAGAATTGAAGAATATGTAATTATTGTTATATTATTATTGTGACTCACGGAATACAATACAAGAATATTTAATTATGATTATATTATTATTGTGCCTCACGGCCATTATATACTAACAGAACTTGAAAAGAAACTAATAATAATAATAATAATATAAGTGGTAATAATATTATCTAAAAGTAATAAGTGTTAATAATAATAGTAAGATTATTAACTTAAGAATTATAATATAGAATAAATCGTAATAATTAATAACTATAGTCTAGGATTAAATTTGAAATTGTCAGGAAAGATAAACGACCTCTGGTGAAATTAACTCTTAAAAAATTATATATCGATTTAAATATTCTTAATATATTACAATAATTCCATTGTGTGCATAGCACGGGTGAAAATACTAGTATCAAATAAAATCAAGAAACCCAAATAGGTGGGAGTTTGCTGGGTTCCTGTGGCTGTACTTCAGTCATTTGAAGCAAGAAAAAGAAGCAACTACTACACGCGCCTTATGTTTCTTAATCCTTTTGTTTCTTAATCTTTGGTGGAAGAAGTTTGTTAGGGAGTAATAAATTCTGAATTTGAAAACCGCGGCGTCATGGCTTCCATTAACGGCTACTTCTCCTACGCCGCCTTAATCCCACCGGAATTAGGGCTCCGTTGTGCCGCTATAAGTAGGCGCCTCCGCCCTCACTCATCTTCTGCACTTTCCGTTCATTGTTTTTGCGGCGCTTCAATTCTCTGTGGAATTTCATTCTCCGCCATTAACGAACAAGAGTGCAGTGGATATATATATAGCCTTTCTTCTTCACCAACAAACATGGCGGATCACTCTGTTTCCACCGTCCTCTGCCTCACTCTACACCCATCTCCGGGAACTTCTCGTTCCCAGGCAAGGAAGCCGTCGGGCGTTGATCTCTGTCCCTCTATTTGGTGTTTCAACGCCGATCAAGAATCGCCGGTTAATTCTGCCCTACCCAATCTCCAACAATTCGCATTTACGCTCTTGTCTCCATCAACTCTTTCAAATCCCCCCTTTGATCTTGATCTCTTTCCGGTTTCTGCGATATTTGAGGATTTCTTGGAGGACAAGATTCCCTCAATGAAACGCAAAAGGGAGAAAATTGGAGATTCCGGAACTGATAAATCCGGATCAGATGAGGGAGGGGCGAAGAAACAGAAGGGGGAAAGGGACGGGCAGTGGATAAAGAAGTTGCTAAGTTTGAGCGACGTGAACGATTCGTCGAGGCTGTTGCTGGGTAAGGAGTATGTGAGGAAATACGTCCTGCCATTGATGGATGATGAGAGACGTGCGGCTTGTGAAAGCAGGGAAGGATTGAGAGTGAAAGTGTGGGATTTGGACACCATTTCTGAACACGAACTGAGGCTGAAGCAATGGAAGACAGGGAGCTTTCTGCTAACCAGCAATTGGCGTATGGAGTTGATGTGGGACTTTGAAAAACTTGGCTTCTTCTTCCACAAGTTCAATGCCCAATCTTAGTTAGTTCTTAACTTGTTATTGTGCAGTGACTGGCTTAGCTTAGCTGACTGAAATTTTGGGAGGATTATATTCTCTGTGTTGTTTCCACTGATATGATATGATAGATATGACATTAGTAAATAATATTGGCTTTTCTCATTGATATATGCTTTTATTGTTTTGTTTCAGTTGGTTACAGTTACAGCTTTACAGGTGTTTGTTTTTCCTTTATAAACCAAAACAATAGATTCCATAATTTTTGCAAAATTAAATTTAGAGACTATTGCATACCCAAAATATTTAAATCATATGATGACATGATTAAACCACTAGACAGTTTTTGGTTCATTAGATATTTCAATGAACATATCTAATGGTGCAAGAGTTTTTGTGATTATCATCTGCATTGCATAATAATGTTGACAACATCTTATACAAAGAATTCATGATTCAGGTATAACTATTTGCACTCTACTTCTAAGACCGCATATTTTCTTTCAAACTCCTATTGGAGACGGACCCTATATTTTCATTTGATGATTATTATAATATCTCTGCTTCTTTTTAGTATTAAAGACAACACCATTCAATGTATTGGGTTATAAGCTGGGGCTGGACAGAATCGCAATGTCATTCTCATTTTATTACTTTTTACAGACTTTAATAGTTCTGAACGTTTCCTATTCAATTTGGTTTTAGTTTTTAGCTTAATGGCTTTATCATCTCCATGGGTTTTCATCCTCAGCTGCAGTAGTGACTTTTATTTGGCAGCTAAGTTAGCCTGAGAATTTTTTTTTCTTCTTCTTATGTTATCCATAGCCTAAATCTATAAGCTTTTTTTTATTGCATACCAGCCTCCTTTTGATGAGAAGGCATCTCTTATGGATGTGATTATGATATGAAGGTATCTCTTTAAACTCCACATTCATATTAATACAAATATCAAAGTTCCATGATAGAATTTGATGAGAAGAGATCATACGGCAGGCATGCCAACAGGCCGGGACTTGTCCCCTCACCTGGCTATAAATGCCGCATTAATTGTTGTTATAGGGGACTTTTGGTTATTTTCTTACACGATACCTCTTCAGTTCGGGAACCTCTGACCCACTGTCATGTTGACTGGGCTTTACCAATTAAACCATCAAGTAGACTAGGTGAAGGATCTGTACCTGGAACCAACCTGGGATTGTAGTTTGTACAATACATTCTGTATTTAATAATATACCCCATGTTTACTACATATCAAGTACATTAATAATTAATTTTAAATGTATTTAAAATAAATATTTATTCATAATTCACCTTCAATATGATGGAAATTCAAAGTATAATTTGCAACTGAGTAGCTAGATATGTCTCATATTTTTTCCCTCCGAATCATCCCCATGACATAGCAAGATCTAATTAGGACATTTTCCTTTGCAATTTACAATGGACAAGCAACAATTATTGTGTGGACTGTGCTCCACACAGTAGTCGTGAACCATGGTTCAAAAAGACGTTAAATTTTATGAGTTAGAATAATGCATTTTATGAGTTAGAATAATGTATTTTATGTGTTAGAATAATAAAATTTATGTGGTACGATAATGTATTTTATGGCTTATAATAATGTACTTTAGGAGTTAAAATAATGTACATTATGAATTATAAAAATGTATGTTGTAACAAGTCCCGCTAACAAAATTATAAATAAAGAATTCACGAAACGATATCATTTTTAGACCAAAAAACCTTAGAGATCTCTTAATGTTAGCATAATGCTAATTATATTCTATGACTTCTTTATAAGTTTAACTTAAGCACTACCTCTTAAGCACTACCTCTGACGGCTAAGACTAAACTATGTTTTATTGGCAGTCGCCCACTGCAGGCTGGCCCAAGACTAAACGGGTCAACTTTAAAGGCCCAAAGAGAATGGGATACCGGTTCCACTCAACCAGTTATCGCCGTCTATGAACACACCGGGGGTGTAGGATACGACCTCGGCAGAGTTGGTGATGACTTTAAAGCCTTTCCAGTTAACTCTCCTGGACGTGTCAGCTCCGGCGCCAGTGTTATTGTATTCTCGGTACACTAATGTATTGAGGGCGAAGTTTCCGTCCCATATATCCCAGCCAGCGGGGTCAATCACGTCGGTGATTGAACTCTGCATAATAACGGTTCTAGAGTATTCCATCCACGGTCGGCCGAGAAACGTCGGGAACTCCTTCTGGAATGGTCTTAGGTCGGGAGTGGCTCCGATCCTAGACTTCTGAATCACAATTCCGGTGTTCTGGTTCCGGTCCATTCTCCCCTGGGCCGTGACTATATTCTTTTGCTGCGGGCCAGGGCGGCGGGCGTGGATGTCGCAATCTTGGAAAACCACTGCGGAGTTGCCAAAGATGAAGTCGATCGTGCCGACGACGTAGCAGTTGACGAAGAATTGACGGTTGGAGTGAACGTAGAGGGAGTCTTGGTACGCGATCACGTTGCATCGATAGAACGCCGATTGATCTGAGCCGACTCGGAGCGCCACCGCCTGCTGATTCGCCGGCCCCGCCGTGTTTTGAAAAGTTATGTCCCGGGCAAAAAATCTTGCCCCCACCACCCCTGTTACAAACAATGAAACACAACAGACAAAGAAGATTAAGGATGGTCCCACCGTTCAGAATCACAATACAACCTCCAACGTCCAACCACAAACGCACATGTTTCCAAAACGGACAACACAATAATGAACAGAAATAATAATTCCTGCGCGTATTGTTCAATGTTCGTACTTTGCATTTGGTTGGAAATTAGGGGGAAAGAAATTATAATTTGATGAAAAAAAAAAGAGGTGAGAATAAAGTATAAATTCAAATTACATATTTGATAGAGAAGAATATAATTATTGAGAATGAGAAGGAAATAAATGGTATAAATATTAAAATGTCACTGTGTAATAATAATAATAATAATAATAATAATAATAATAATAATAATAATAGTGAAAGGTAAAAAAGTCATTTTTTCCCCTTTTCCGCAATTCATATGGGGAGGGTATGAATTGCAATTCAACAAAATGAGGGAGGGGAGGATATGAATTGCAATTCAACAAAATGAGGGAATTGCAATTCGGTAGAGTTACAATTCTCTCCAACCAAGCACAATAATTCAAGTGAACAAAGAATTATGTTGTATTTGAATTGCAACTACATCCAACCAACCGCTTAAAGTTATAATGGTAAATTATTCTATCACAAAAATGAATGACATAAAACATTATAGTGACCCACGTAGTCTATGCTAAAACTAGCTTCAAACCTTTGATTTACAAGAAAGTTTACATGTTGTACATTTTGAATAGTGCCAACCATGCAATCCTAGTCAAAAAAGTATCATAATAAATTAAATCAGTTTAAATTATTCATTACTTACTCACTCCATTCAAAAGGTCAATCTAGCCAAGTTAACTTGACCAACTAGACTACTTACCAAGTTAATATCCTAACTAACTCCACTAGTTCCCAATTCTTTAATCTCTTGAATCACCTTTTACCCCAAAGGCTGAATCCCTAACCCTCAGGACCCCCACAGGTTGAATCCCTAATTCTAAGGACCCCACATTCCGACCCTACAGAACATGGGGAGGATGTAAATCACGTCTTGAATCACCTTAAGTATAACCGGCGATCATTTATTTTAATTTCTGAATATAGAATAGTTTATGCGAGGAATGGATAATGTAACTAGCTAGAAGCAGATAAGCTTACCGACGGTGGCAGAATGGAAGGTGGTACTGCCGTCGACGACATTACGACTTGCGGCGATGACGGTGCTTATTCTTCCATCTCCGACGAACATTATGTTCGTCTTCGTAATCGGAACATCTACATTCTCCTTATATAACCCTGCCTTAATCCTTATCACGTACCTTCTACTACTCCTCTCCGGCGCCTTCGCCACCGCCTCCGACACCGTCCTGTACTTTCCGCTGCCGTCCGCCGCCACCACAACGTCCGGTTTCACATTAGACGACTGCAGCAGTTTTCTGTCCCCTGCCGACAACCACTCCGGCCACTTCGCACCGTCATTATGGTCTTCTTTCAGCTTTCTGTTTTTATTAGTATTCCCAGAAAGCTTCTTCTGGTTTAGAATGTCGGTGTCGGTCATGTTTTTTATCATTGCTAGGGAGTTGCTGCACATTTTCTCCACGTGCTCTTGGCCGTCGATTAGGGCTTCTCTCACGTGCTTATCGGCGTCTTCGTGGGAGAATCCGTCGAGGCAGGTTCCCTGGTTGGTAATGGCGGAGCTGACTAGGGTTTTAAGGTCGTCGGCGTGGCGAATTAGGGATTTCTTCGTCGGGTACTGTTCCAGGTCCTTGACGGTGGCGTGGAGCTCGTGGAGTGTCTCGTCCACCATCTCCATGCAGTCTCGCAGCGCCGTCTTCTCGCGTCCGTTCAGGTTTTTCCGGGCCTTGATTAGCTTTTTTATGGCCGCGGAGTTGTGATCCACGGCGGTGATTGTGATGTTCAGAGAGATCTCGATGACGTCCTTTTGGCTGGACAGTTTCTTGCCGGCGACGCCGCCGCCGCCATTGGCTATGGCGGAGAAGCATAGTTCCGGGTAGAAAGTGCTGCTGCATGAAGACTTAACAACGGCGTGGGCTTCCGAGGAAAGTGCGCCGTTGCCGGAATTGTTTTCCATGGATTTAACTCCGGTTACAACTCCGACCACCGCAGCTACGAGGAGAACTGATGCGAAGAGCGCTAGGATTATTTTTTTTCCCTTCTGGGGTTCGCCGGAAAGTGACACTCCGGCGAAGAATTCTTTAATAGTCGGCATTTGGATGATTTGGGAACCTTTGTAACGTTTTCCTATAATATCATTATATTATAATATTAGGATAAGGTATAATAATATTAAATATTTAATATGTGGTGCAACATTAATAACCTAATAGCTAGATTATCATTATGATTAGGAGTTAGTTAGGATTTAAGAGACCTAAAGATATACAATCACAATGATAGTAGTATAGCTATTTAGTACTATACATAGTTTAAAGTATAACATGATGATAAAGATTTAGACAACGTGATATGCAAACATTAATAGTACATAGAGTTTGTTTGGCAGAGCTTATTTAGGAGCTTATATAGCTTATTTTATACTGTATAAGTTTTGTTGTGTAGAGTCTGTTTGACATAGCTTATTTAGTAGCTTATAGCTTATTTTAAACTAGTAATAAGCTATAAGCTCTGTTTGATAATGTTTTCAAAATAAGCTCATAACTTAAAATAAGAGCTTATTTTGAAACGCTACTTATAAGCTTTGTTTGATAATGTTCCCAAAATATAAGCTCATAGCTTAAAACAAGAGCTTATTTTAGAACGTTACTGAAGAGCGTTTCAAAATAAGTTACTAGCTTCCTAACTTTTCTTCCATCTTTGTCCTTATTATTTTAAAGAAATGACATTCTTTACTCTTTCAATTAAAATAATTTTCTCTTCTGATCTCTTTTATTTGCAACTTTCACCGCAATTATTATTATTATTGTTATTATTATTATTATTATTATTATTATTATTATTATTATTATTAGATGAAGGAGATTCACAACAATATTGTTATTTCATTATGAGATCGATTCTAGATCATGATCATGCTAATAATTTTATTTCAAAATGTTAATTTCTTTTGAAGACAAAATGTTAAATTCTACTCAGTAATATGTAAATTAAACAAACTAATTTAAATTTTATGAAAATGTCCTTTTTTATCTTTTTACATGTATCTATCAACTTATCAAAAAGTTAATTTTACCAAACACTTTCAAACATAACAACTCTTAAGTTTTCAGCTCCTAGATTATAACTTTTAAACTTTCAGCTCCTTTTAAACTTTCAACTACCTTTGCAGCTAGGTTTGTCAAACATAACCGTAGTATAAACGTACACTCGTAACCAGTAATCACCTCAGAAACAGTAATATTTGGGAATCTAGTTATACTTTCGGAGTTATTAATTGGACTTGTTATATCAATCGTTAATACATGCGCTAACGGAATAACATCGCAAATCAGCTTCAATGAATCACCTTAGTCTCCAAATTTTAGAACATCCCCGGCCCTTAACCGGATTTATATAGGTGTATGTTACGTAGACGAAATTCATACAGGTGTGTTTGTTCTTCTTTGTATTAACACTAGTTATTTTACGCGCATGGTGCGAATTGAATAAGATAATGCCTAATAATTATTTTTAAATAGATACTTCAAAGTATATTAATGCAATATAATATAGGGGATGTTCATGCATAGGTAATTGAATGTTGAATTTGTTTATTTAAATCGTTATTCAAAGTATATAAATGCAAGATAATATATAAGAGAATGATTATAATTGTCACTAAAATAAATGTTTGCAACTTTGTAATAATGATAGTCTAAATACTTAGTCTAAAAGCGATAGTCTAAATAAATACTACTCTTGGTTTAAATTTCTCTAAGTTTCTTAATTCTCTTTTGGATAACATTGTCATTGTCTTCATCTTCAATCTTTTTTTTTTTTTTTTTTTAAAATAATAATATAATATTTGTAAAGTAATGTACAATTGTACCGTTATAAAAATACATACAAAAAATATTAATACCATAATGACCTAAATCATTATAATAATGCAAAAGCATAATTGAAATATTGAATTTTGTTCTAAATAATCAAAAGAAGTTTAATTAAAAAAAAAAAAAACAAAAAAAAAAAAAAAACAAAAAAAAAAAACATAACTTAACCTAATTTTTTTTTAAAATGTAATAAAATGATTTTCAAAGTTCATGAATTATAAATTTGACAAAATTTATGTTAAATTTTATATTGTATTTATTTTTTAATACTCCGTATATTTTAACATATTCTTAGTATATGTTTAACCAATCATGTTATCTCTTCTACCATCATGTTACATGAAGCACCAAATTTCATATTTGACCAATCATCTTCACATTTTAATTGGTTATCTCTTCTACCATCACCTGGTTTTGCAGTATCCAAATTGCCAAGATTCTTACTATTTTGAACAAATTTAGTACCAGACTCAAGATGGTTATTGTTAACCTTCATATCTTCCTTTAGACTCTTAGTTGGTTTCAAGCCTATATTATCATTTGGAGGATGAGAGACCTTCTCTCCATCTGTTTGGATGTCAACACCAAAATCTTTATCTTTTTCCTTGGATTATAATGGAGAATTTTTCACAGTTTTCTGATGGTGTAACATTAAAAGTTTCTTGTTTATCCTATCCTTCCTACCAATGGAACTTGCATCACTATCCTGAAGATGTATCAAAGAACTATCTTGAAGATGTATCAATGAACTATCAAAAGCCTCAGCATGAAAGAAACTGTTGCCCTTTCTTGATTGCCCAGATCCATTGCTCAATAAATTGATAGACTTTTTTGGGCTTCCTGCCAATCCAAAATCACTGCACTTAGCATCATCTTTCTCAAAACCACCCTTTCTAGTGGGTTAAAGACTATTCAAGTTGTATGTCCTCATTGGAGATGAGGAAACTGACTCCACAGGAGAGCCTTTCACTTGGTAATTAGCTCTTCTTATACGGGAATCAGAAACTTTAGAGGAGCTTCAAGTGGCTGTGCTGTTGACAATTCTTCACAACCCAAGTCCTTTCTCAATGAATCAATATCATCAAGTGTCAGTTGAGGCTTCATCTTAACTTTATACTTCTTAACCTGCTCATCTTTCACAATACTACTAGCTTCACTATTCCTACTACTTGGCAGGATAATTCTGGTCACTGCAGCTCTTGCCTTTGGCTTTTGCTCACTCTTTGCTTCAGTCTGAGAGATCTTGCATTTCTTATGTTTCTTGAATCCACCATCATTGCTCTCATCCTTGATGGACACCTTGCTAACTCCAAGACGAGCCACATTACTTTGCAATGTCTCCAAATAATCACTGTCCTTAAATTTTCTTTTCTTTGTAGATAGTTCCCTTCCGTTACACGCTTTTATATCTAATGACCCATTATCCACAGAATCATGCATGTGGTCCTGCTTTTTCACAGAGACCCGTAACCCACTCCCCACATTAGACTTTGTTTCCTTCAAATACCCATTTTTCTTGTGTTTCTCTTTCATAGCTACCTTAGTAGGCAAACCATTAGTTGAGGCCAGCATACCAAGGTCCACACCAGAAGCTAGCTCACTATCAGCTTTTATCTTCTTCTTCACATCCTTATAGTCTGATAAGTTGGGCTCTCTTTTTATTTTCTTTCTAGACTTTTCATCACCTGCAAAGAAATCATAAGACCCATCAAATCTATGAGCCAATGCAAACGTACAGTATGAAAAATCAGCCATGACACAAATACCATACCAATAACTACATGTTCCCCCTGTTCACTAAAATCCTTGTCATTGAATTTGCGCATTGAAATTGATCCCGATGGAGCCTGGTTCACATTTACCAAAGTTCTACCTTTCACCATTTCTCCCTGGATGCTCTTCGTAAAGTTTGTTGCAGCAAGTAATTCATCATTTTTACTTCTCGTCACTTTATGTTTCTTCCTTCCTAGATTGGCCGTGTAACTGGCATTTTGCCTATTCCCACTCAAGTCACAAGCATTGGCAGCATAAGTTTGAAGGTTATTTGGATTCTGAGGGAGAGGAACATATAAAGCATTAAGAGCTCCAGTTGTTTCATCCTCACTGAAGTCACAGCTGTTCATTCCAGGCCTAAAACATTGAAACAATATGTAATTAACACCAGCTTTACCAACAATCCATTTATGATGTGCATTGCATATGAGGCGGGAGAAAGAGAAAGAGTGGGGGGGTAAGGCAGGAAACTTACAGCCAGTTTAGCATGCTGCATATCCAAATTGAGGGCAAATGATCAGGTTTCATACCCTGTGGTAGAAGACGCCACTTTTGGCATTTGTCACATTGGACCCAATCCTCCTCAATAAGAAAAGGAGCTGGTGGTGCCTCTTCTGTATGCGGTATAGGTTCCCTAGTGGAAGGTATTCCATACATTGAAGTCTCCTTCATAATTTTCCCAGATATCAACTGGTTGTCAAGTTTTGTATGAGCAGATTTCAGCCTTGATTTATCAGAACTTGCTTGCAGTTCTCTATGTGCATCCAACTTAGACTCCTTTAACTTATGACCAGACGTCCTTTCTAGTACATCCTTCCCAGAATTCTTTTTGTTCTTTATAACAGCACTTTTATCTGACAGCTTAGAAGCAGAGTTTCCAGAAAGTTGACTACCCACTGACTTCTTTTTCCCTTCAGATGTCTTCTTCTTTGTGTCTAGTATCTTCAATTTATCTTGTTGATGACTTGTAGCCTTCACATTTACTTCTTTTAACTTCTCAGCAGCCCCTTTTGAGTCTTTTCTACCCTCAGAAATATCAGAATTGGCTGTAACACAAGTAAGAATTCGAATTCTGTCTTCCTTACTCCCGCCGCGTTCCTTATTATCCTTACGAAAACCTATTTTCTCCATTGAGTTGCTTTTTGAATCTCGATTATCAAAGTTACTACCACCTTGGCCAGTAATCAATGCAACGGACTCATCATTAATCAAGCCACTGTTTGTACGCTCCCTTTTCTTTGATGACATGGCCTCATCAGACTCTCTAACAGCTTTGGATGCAAAGCTAGCACCTTTAAGTGATCCACCAGTATCACAACATCCTAAATCAGATAAATCTTTAGCATTCAAGTCAGTAGAGAGATACTGTTTGTTTTCCAAGGTCTCACTTCCTAACTTTTTCTTCAAACAGGAGACAATATCAATTTTATTACCCCTATTCTTTGGTTCCACAAAGTTTTCACTCGGGGAAATAGAATTTACTTTCTTCCCTTTCAGCTCATTGACATTCCCCAAACTGGAAGTTGAAGCATCAGTAGAAATGGATGAATCGTTGTGCCCATTCTTTCGAGCAGCAACAAGCTTACCACATCCCAACTTACTTCCATTTCTTGACAAGGCGAGTAAATGATGATGAAGAGGTGAAAGCAGAAGACCCCTAGCAACTGGGAAAGATGTCATCACCTGTTTAAAGGGGGAAACAAGAATAAAGGTACAGGAAATCAGCAAAACACGAGATTGGATAATCACCTTGTCCAGAACAGGAGTAGAATTGTGTAAAACATATGTGGCTCACCTGAAGAATGCAGCCAGGAGATTCATCACCACTTTCCACAGGACTACTTTCCATTGATGAAGGAGAAGTAAGCCCAAGACCACTGTATATTGCAGCATTTTTCTGTGTTGTCTTGTGTGGATGTACTTTGATCCGAACTTTTAGTGTTCTCTGATCAGTTAAAGTGACTGACTTATTCAAGTAATTAGGCTCATCTTTTGCAAGGCACTTTTCAGCAACTTGCTCTGGTGCACCCCTCACAGCAAGTAATGAATGTGAATTGCCAGAAACAGCCACTCCATTTTTCTCTGTGATCAAATGCTTAGGAGACCCTGGCATGTTGTGGCTATGAAATCTTGGTGGAGATTTAGGCTGAGACAATACTGAAGGAGAATGCTGATAGGTGGGAAGAAATGAGCCATACCCACCAAATTTTGCTCCCAAATTTTCAGCACTAACTCCTCCTTCAAAATCTTTCTGAAAATGGCCCAAAACACTTTGTACCTTCTCATCCTTTAGAATAAAATAATGGGAAAAGAATGAAAAAAAAAATGTTATACAATCTTCTCGTTCATAAAATCAAGAGCAAGACAGCAACTATCATAAAACATGAGAAACCAGTATACATTCAAATCCAGCAGTTCCAAAACTCCAAATAAGGAGTAGCAATCAGCTTTAATATGATCAGTTAGTTTGAAAAGTTCATTTGTTTCAAATTACAATCAATTTAAGCTCTCCATGCAAACACTTAAGTGGTGAAATCAATCAATCCTGCCAGTTGGGAGTTCAATACGTCCTTTTCCCTTGTTCCACCAAAACAGTAATTGACATTTATTCAGTTTATAATTAATCAATCACATTAATACAATCCAAATTCTTAATCTTAACACGAAGACACTAGAGCAAGGGTTGAAGAGGAGTCTTACAAGGTAAGAGAGTGCTATATCAGGGTCAATGCTTGTATCATCAAGCCCGTGATAGCGCGCCTCGCCTTCCTCAAGCTCATATTTTGGTTCCATATCTTCCTCAGGCACACTTCCCAACCTACAAACCCTGTTTCTAACCTAAGCAACCCAAAACCCTAACCCTAATTTGCCACCGCCTATCTTAAAGTCCAACATCTTTATCTTTATCTTTATCTTTATAATCTTAACTTTCCCTCCAAAAATAACATTCCCTCCAAAATTGTGAATGGACTTTGGGAAAATGGGCTTCAGCAATGGGATAAATTTGACCCAAAAATTTAAAAAAAAAATGTAATTATATATTGGCCCAACATTTGTTATGTTAAAACTTTTATTTTTTATTAAGTTAGTGTACATATATATACTAGCAGGAGTACGCGCCTTGCGCGTCGTGGAATAATTATAATTGATGCCCAATATTCGTACAATTTAATTATTTTGGATTTTGTGGAATGATTTTAATTGGTGACCAATAGTGGTACAATTTAATTCTTTTGGATTGTAAAGACATATAAGATTTGGTCAGTATGTTTTTGGCTATTTTGCAATGCATCTTACAAATTTATTTATATATTTAGACGTAATTGAATACAAAATAGGCTTCGTTTGTATTTGTACGCGCTTGAATAGTCGTTTACCGTAGGGAGGTCTAGGCTTTTGTAAAGGGTAAAAAAGTCCTTTAATAAGTGGGTTACTAATAGCGATATATATTTCAGTTGGCATAGCAATTCTCAAAGCTAATAAACACGGAGTATATATTTGTGTTGGCATACCAATTCCTGAATGTTTTATTTGTAACGGCACTTGTAGTGGAGGAATTCCCAACTGACGATGCATGGAACTGGAGTTGTAGAACACCGAATGTTTGCACGGAATTTGTACAGATCATAGACTATCAGCAGTGCGGCAATCAAGCTAGCATAAAGATTTAAGCATAATCCATCTCAAACCTCAAAATATAGAATGGCCATATACAAGCTAGCATGATATCAATCTATCAATCAATGTGGTCTCCAAAATAACTCATTCTTTATGCTCAAAGCAAGCATCAATGCTACAATACACACAAGACATAATATATCGGTTTTTCCTATTCTTATTTGTTTGTATTCTACAGTAGTTCCTACGAACAATGATTGTTCTATTCATCTTAGCACCATGGCATGTCCGAGCAAGGATACGACCTCTGATAGAAACAGTACCAGTGAAGAGGCAATTTTATCAATATATGTCCCTAAAATCAAGAAACACAACTTTTTTAGAATCAAGCTCAAACCACATTTTAGATAGAAAGCACAAATTTCCCACAAGTACCTAATCTGTGGTGGGGAATACAAAGAAACACTACACATTTTGATATGATAAATAGAGTGTATTACACACTTAGCTAAAGCAGAAGAGATTAAAGAAGAAATCAGTGGGAAGAAAAATGGGTATTGGAGCTGAATCTAATGTAAGATACTGAAGATATCTCATAGCATGCAAAGGATAGTATGAGCATATTAGAGACCCGAGCAGTACCATTGCATCACATAAATTGGTCTAATACACCAATATCGCATAACTAGTAGCATGCTATAGATATATATTAGAATAAACACTAACTACATTTGGAGATATAGGGCAACCATAAATGTTCTAGTGTTCAACCATCTAATTGCCTCACTCCTTATTGTCTTCAATCAGTTCTCCATTTTATAAGCAGATATAGGGCAATCACATTAATAATTAGAGAGAAGAAACAAAATAAAGCTCACCCCATATCCAAAAAAAAACCCACAAAACGAACCAAGCAGGAATCTCACTTATATCGGATATAAAAATAATTTTTTGCATAGCCAACTACAAAGAATACTGGGAGGGAGGCAATAGATATGAACCTTCAATAGCCTTGCGAGGTGTCTTAAACCCTAGTCCAATGTTCGCATAAATCCTATCTAAACCTGAGAAAAACTCCCGGCTGCTTCAAGAAAGCCTTGTCAGTCTGCAATACAAACCGAAATGTTTGAGATTTCTGTATAAATCAATTCAGATTGAAAGTGCAAGTGTGTATACATGAGATAGAAGAACCTGCTCCGACATTAACATTCCAATTTCCAACCACTGGAAAATAGTATAGTGAATAGAAAGATAGCCTAAGCATCAGCATCAGCGCTATATATGTCTCTGCTTCACATATAAGACCCCCTAGTTGGCCTTAAAACAAAACAAAAAAAAAAAAACCATTCAATTTCCATCACAATGATACAAAGCAAATCTCATGGGTGACAAAACCCATACACACACACACACTGTTCTCTGCTCCATATTTTGCTATGAAAGCCAAGCATGTTCTCCAACAATTTCCCACATCGAAATTAGAGCATAAATATTTTCTCTTAATAAGGCCGTAGCTAAAAGAATTACTTGCTGGGCTTGGTAGCACAAGCTTGTAACCCGAGTGGGAGCAAAGGCTGGGCTTTAGATGCTATCGACTGGCTTGCCCGTTCCAAGTGGTGAGTTGTGCTGTGGATTCTCTGTGAAGGTGGGGGCTGTGTTGATTAATTACTTTTGGGCAGTGACTATTGTAACCACACAATTAAGCTATTAGTAATCGGTTGGCCAGTCACTCTGCTCCATCTTGTGTAAGTCTTATAATGTATTGAGATCTTCTGTTTATAGTGGATAAAAGGAGAAGCTGTTGAGATTGATAAACATATATAATAGCTCAACATTCAACAAATCAGAGTGGCGCAGCGGAAGCGTGGTGGGCCCATAACCCACAAGTCCCAGGATCGAAACTTGGCTCTGATAGAGTAAAATTGTTTTCTCAATAGTTTACTATAGTGGGCTTGGTAGCGAGCATTAAGAGATGGTGGAACAGCGCCACCTTCTAATGTAAGGTGTGCCTCGGGCCGATGCTTGGAGATGGTGGAAGCACCGTGTGCGGGCCGCCACCTCCTAATGTAAGGTGTGCCCGACCGTGTGCGAAAACACCACCTCCTAATGCCGCCGATGCTTGGAGATGGTGGAAGCACCGTGTGCGAAAACACCACCTCCAAATGCTGCCGATGCTTGGAGATGGTGGAAGCACCACACCACCTCCCAAGCGGCCGCCACATCCTAATGTAAGGTGTGCCTCGGGCCGATGCTTGGAGATGGTGGATGCACCGTGTGCGGGTCGCCGATGCTTGGAGATGGTGAGATGGTGGAAGCACCGTGTGCGGGTCGCCGATGCTTGGAGATGGTGGAAGCACCGTGTGCGAAAACACCACCTCCAAATGCTGTCGATGCTTGGAGATGGTGGAAGCACCACACCACCTCCCCCAAGCACCGTGTGCGAAAACACCATCTCCAAATGCCGCCGATGCTTGGAGATGGTGGAAGCACCGTGTGCGAAAACACCACCTCCTAATGCCGCCGATGCTTGGAGATGGTGGAAGCACCGTGTGCGAATGCTTGGAGATGGTGGAAGCACCGTGTGCGAAAACACCACCTCCAAATGCCGCTGATGCTTGGAGATGGTGGAAGCACCGTGTGCGAAAACACCACCTCCAAATGCCGCCGATGCTTGGAGATGGTGGAAGCACCACACCACCTCCCAAGCACCGTGTGCAAAAACACCACCTCCAAATGCCGCCGATGCTTGGAGATGGTGGAAGCACCACACCACCTCCCAAGCACCGTGTGCGAAAACACCACCTCCAAATGCCGCCGATGCTTGGAGATGGTGGAAGCACCGTGTGCGAAAACACCACCTCCTAATGCCGCTGATGCTTGGAGACGGTGGAAGCACCGTGTTCGAAAACACCACCTCCTAAATGCCGCCGATGCTTGGAGATGGTGGAAGCACCGTGTGCGAAAACACCACCTCCTAATGCCGCCGATGCTTGGAGATGGTGGAAGCACCGTGTGCGAAAACACCACCTCCTAATGTAAGGTGTGCCTCGGGCCGGGGCTTGGTAGCTAGCATTAAGAGATGGTGGAACAGCGGAGGCTTCTTGGTCCTTAGGTTGGAGGGCAACGCGTGTGAAAACACCACCTCCTAATGTAAGGTGTGCCTCGGGCCGGGGCTTGGTAGCTAGCATTAAGAGATGGTGGAACAGCGGAGGCTTCTTGGTCCTTAGGTTGGAGGGCACCGCGTGTGAAAACACCACCTCCTACCTAATGTACGGTGTGCCTCGAGCAGAAAGTCTCCTAATGTACGGTGTGCCTCAGACCGTCCAAATTGAAAAAATAATAGCTAGCATAAAGATTTAAGCATAATCCATCTCAAACCTCAAAATATAGAATGGCCATATACAAGCTAGCATGATATCAATCTATCAATCAATGTGGTCTCCAAAATAACTCATTCTTTATGCTCAAAGCAAGCATCAATGCTACAATACACACAAGACATAATATATCGGTTTTTCCTATTCTTATTTGTTTGTATTCTACAGTAGTTCCTACGAACAATGATTGTTCTATCCATCTTAGCACCATGGCATGTCCGAGCAAGGATACGACCTCTGATAGAAACAGTACCAGTGAAGAGGCAATTTTATCAATATATGTCCCTAAAATCAAGAAACACAACTTTTTTAGAATCAAGCTCAAACCACATTTTAGATAGAAAGCACAAATTTCCCACAAGTACCTAATCTGCGGTGGGGAATACAAAGAAACACTACACATTTTGATATGATAAATAGAGTGTATTACACACTTAGCTAAAGCAGAAGAGATTAAAGAAGAAATCAGTGGGAAGAAAAATGGGTATTGGAGCTGAATCTAATGTAAGATACTGAAGATATCTCATAGCATGCAAAGGATAATATGAGCATATTAGAGACCCGAGCAGTACCATTGCATCACATAAATTGGTCTAATACACCAATATCGCATAACTAGTAGCATGCTATAGATATATATTAGAATAAACACTAACTACATTTGGAGATATAGGGCAACCATAAATGTTCTAGTGTTCAACCATCTAATTGCCTCACTCCTTATTGTCTTCAATCAGTTCTCCATTTTATAAGCAGATATAGGGCAATCACATTAATAATTAGAGAGAAGAAACAAAATAAAGCTCACCCCATATCCAAAAAAAAAAACCCACAAAACGAACCAAGCAGGAATCTCACTTATATCGGATATAAAAATAATTTTTTGCATAGCCAACTACAAAGAATACTGGGAGGGAGGCAATAGATATGAACCTTCAATAGCCTTGCGAGGTGTCTTAAACCCTAGTCCAATGTTCGCATAAATCCTATCTAAACCTGAGAAAAACTCCCGGCTGCTTCAAGAAAGCCTTGTCAGTCTGCAATACAAACCGAAATGTTTGAGATTTCTGTATAAATCAATTCAGATTGAAAGTGCAAGTGTGTATACATGAGATAGAAGAACCTGCTCCGACATTAACATTCCAATTTCCAACCACTGGAAAATAGTATAGTGAATAGAAAGATAGCCTAAGCATCAGCATCAGCGCTATATATGTCTCTGCTTCACATATAAGACCCCCTAGTTGGCCTTAAAACAAAACAAAAAAAAAAAACCATTCAATTTCCATCACAATGATACAAAGCAAATCTCATGGGTGACAAAACCCATACACACACACACACTGTTCTCTGCTCCATATTTTGCTATGAAAGCCAAGCATGTCCTCCAACAATTTCCCACATCGAAATTAGAGCATAAATATTTTCTCTTAATAAGGCCGTAGCTAAAAGAATTACTTGATGGGCTTGGTAGCACAAGCTTGTAACCCGAGTGGGAGCAAAGGCTGGGCTTTAGATGCTATCTATTGGCTTGCCCGTTCCAAGTGGTGAGTTGTGCTGTGGATTCTCTGCGAAGGTGGGGGCTGTGTTGATTAATTACTTTTGGGCAGTGACTATTGTAACCACACAATTAAGCTATTAGTAATCGGTTGGCCAGTCACTCTGCTCCATCTTGTGTAAGTCTTATAATGTATTGAGATCTTCTGTTTATAGTGGATAAAAGGAGAAGCTGTTGAGATTGATAAACATATATAATAGCTCAACATTCAACAAATCAGAGTGGCGCAGCGGAAGCGTGGTGGGCCCATAACCCACAGGTCCCAGGATCGAAACCTGGCTCTGATAGAGTAAAATTGTTTTCTCAATAGTTTACTATAGTGGGCTTGGTAGCGAGCATTAAGAGATGGTGGAACAGCGCTACCTTCTAATGTAAGGTGTGCCTCGGGCCGATGCTTGGAGATGGTGGAAGCACCGTGTGCGGGCCGCCACCTCCTAATGTAAGGTGTGCCTCGGGCCGTGTGCGGGCTGCCACATCCTAATGTAAGGTGTGCCTCGGGTCGATGCTTGGAGATGGTGGAAGCACCGTGTGCGAAAACACCACCTCCTAATGCCGCCGATGCTTGGAGATGGTGGAAGCACCGTGTGCGAAAACACCACCTCCTAATGTAAGGTGTGCCTCGGGCCGGGGCTTGGTAGCTAGCATTAAGATATGGTGGAACAGCGGAGGCTTCTTGGTCTTTAGGTTGGAGGGCACCGCGTGTGAAAACACCACCTCCTAATGTAAGGTGTGCCTCGGGCCGGGGCTTGGTAGCTAGCATTAAGAGATGGTGGAACAGCGGAGGCTTCTTGGTCCTTAGGTTGGAGGGCACCGCGTGTGAAAACACCACCTCCTACCTAATGTACGGTGTGCCTCGAGCAGAAAGTCTCCTAATGTACGGTGTGCCTCAGACCGTCCAAATTGAAAAAATAATAGAAAACGGGTACACTTGAAGTCATTTTATTTCCTTTCACATTAATAGGTATGTTTATCTCACTTTTTTGACCTCATAATTCTTTCTTTTATAATCTTTCATTCTATTTTATTTTTTTTTTCAATTTAGGAAAACCACTTTTACAACCACATTTTTTTTACATTCATCTTCCAAATTTACTTTATGAACCTTCACTTCCAATTTAGACTGCCACCACCTGGTGTTCTAGAGAGTGTTGTATAATCTCTTTTGACCTCATAATTCTTTCTATTAGCTTTGTATAATATACAGTGATACCTGTTTTGATCTTGTGACACTAGGAAAATATTCTAGTTACAATCATCACCCCCACTACAATCAATTATTTATGGCTTCATGATTCCTACAACCTGGAAAATTTTTTTGAGCAGTTTATTCAAGATTGTTTGTTGGGAACTTCTTAACCAAATTGATGTTTCAGAAAACAGACTACAGCAGAGTTCAATTTGATATTTCAACTATATATATATATATATATATATATATATATATATATATATATATATATATATATATATATGTACGTTGCCAATACCATATATAGAAACATCAAAGAATAATGTAAGGTCAATATGACGGTTGAGACTTATTGAGTCAAGTACTCAGAACACAATCACAAAGAAAGCAGTATCATAAGGGAAAATTATTTATGGCTCTAATTGATCACCTTACAGGGCGTTTGGTTGGAGGGGGGGAATTATGTGGGAAAAGAATTGTAATTCCATGGGAGTTGAATTACTGGGAATAAAGTGGGAATTTAAATTCCAGTGTTTGGTTGATAGGAATAGAATTACTAGGAATTTCAATTCCAATGTTTGGTATACATGGGAATTGAAAGGGAATAAGTAGTATAAAGTCAAAAATGTCCATTATTGTTGTTAGACATTAATTTTATGTTAAAAAAGGAAGGGGTAATTTTGACTCATCACTATCTTTTTTTTCCAGGAATTAAAATACCAGGGGGGAACATGGGATTTTAATTCCATGAAAATGGGGGAATTGCAATTCCATGGAATTGCAATTCCCTCCAACCAAACTACGAAATTTAATGGCCTTTGGAATTAGATGGGAATTAAGTGGGAAGGGAATTTAAAATCTCTCCAACCAAACGCCCTGTTATAAGTTTGTATAAAAGAGTTGGCATACAAGGTAGGAGAATCATCATATCTATGCTTCCATGCAAGGAAAACAAGTACTAAGATATGAGGGATAAATGTAATAATGGATGAAAATTATTTATGGCTCTAATTGATCACCTTTAATTAGGACGGAGCTGAACAACTGATCGAGGGTGGGATATGTCTCGACTCGAATCCTGAGGTGCGTGCTATGTATGGTGAACTCTCCTTTGCAAGGTTTTTCAGAGAAGAGAAGAGAGGTTAGAACAAACTTCATAAACTAACCAACCTTCACAACATGTTAGAATACACTTCCTAGAATGATGAATAAATATGTTTACACTGCTCTTGGGTTTGTTCTCCTCTTGTGTGCGTCTAAGTTCCTCCCATTTCTAGGTTTCGTTTTCCTTCACTTGCTTATGTTTTTCTACTTGTCTTGTTATTTAGTGTTATATATATGCAGATTTGGTGTCAATTCTTTTGCTCTGTACTTTGATCACACCATATGTGCCTAGCTACATTATTGTATACGCATCATCGATGCAGTTGTTTCATTGTTTGTTTCTTTGGTGTTCCTCTTTTGTTTGAATTCGTTTTGTTTTCATCTTTATTGTTGTTATTATCGAAAAAATAGTATTCAATGTTGTAATGATTTTATAGTATGTTATGTACAGTGTTTTCATAAACATATGACTTTCACAAGTCTTTGGGTAAAATAATTAGTTATAGATTGTTGTTGCTATGTATAATTAACCCAAAGGAAATAAACATACTATCTAACGGTTCTTATTTCCTTCCGGTAGGACAAATATGTCATCTTCCGAAATTATGGCAACCTTCTATAAACGTCACCTTAATCATGAGTAAATATCTTTACATATATAAATGCTAAGACATTACCTTATCAAAAACAGGGAAAATGTGATGTACTCGTTCAAATAGTTGATCGAGAAACTTGCTATTTAATTTAATATAGAGTTAATACCCAAAATAGTCCCTCGACTATGTCGTAATTACCAATTTGGTCCTCGACTATCATTCTTACCCAATTAAGTCCTCAACTATACAATTTTTACCCAATTTAGTCCTTTGTCAATTTGACTGTTTGTTGACTGTCAAAAGTGGAAATAAAGTTGTAATTTTACAAGTTTTCTCCTTCCTCCTCATTTAGCAGAGCCAAACCATGTAGCAATAAGCTCCGGTTGAGTTCTAAACCTGTCAGTATCGAAGTAGTGGTTATGCATCGGATAGCCCATGAATTTGATTTCCAACGATTTTTTTGACGATCGAAATCTGATCGGAGTGTATTGCTGCATGGTTTGGCGCTGCTAAATGGAGAGGAAGGAGAAATCTTGTAAAATTATAATTTTATCCCGACTTTTGACTGTCAACAAACAGTCTAATTAATACAGAGGACTAAATTGGGTAAGAATTGTATAGTTGAGGACTAAATTGGGTAAGAATTGTATAGTTGAGGACTTAATTGAGTAAAAGTTACATAGTTGAAGACTTAATTGGGTAAGAATGGTAGTTGAGGATCAAATTGGTAATTATGGCATAGTCGAGGGACCATTTTGGGTATTAACTCTTTAATATATTGTACCACAAAATAGTCACTTAACATGTCATTTTATACTATTTTAAATTATTGTTTCCAACAGTCATATTATACAAGAATTATTACATATATAATAATTTAGTGTCTTATACTAGACAAGAAATTAAATATTTATAAATGCACTTATATTAGACAAATAATAAAAAAATCACATAAAGAAGTGTTTGTTCAGTAAAAAGATTGAAACTACTAATATTTTAAGGGTAGGCTAGCAAAGAAATAAAAACCATAAAATCTAATTTATATATATTAACGAGATAAATTATATAAAGGTTATACCCATCATATTAAAATCCTAATTCGATTAAAATTGGCCTATCAATCATCATACTAAAATACTATATTTCTAACTGGCCTGGTTTGAGATTAACTTAGGGTTTCCCAATCATACTAAAATCATTAAACATAGTAACTAGCTAATACTATATAAATCCTTCATCATTCTATAATTTTCTTCATCATTCTATAATTTTCTTTCATCATTAACAAGCTGTTTAGATATAATAATTAATCATGTTTACCAAGCTTGCTATGCTGATTTGGTTGTATTGTCTTCTCCTACAAGCATCAACTTTATATTATTTATATTACTTCAAAAATGGCAACTTTAGAATCCTATTTAGGTTTATGGGTTTCATTACAGCTTTTCAGTTTATCATGATTATGCTTTACACCTTGTCCAACCTCTCTCTTGAATGGATCAACAATCAATACATTGATGATGATGATGATGATGATGATGATGATGACGACGACGATGACGATAGCAGTGACGATGACGACAATGATAACGGTAACAATGTCGACGATGATAGTGGTGATAATGATGACGGCGTTTATAGCGGTGACGATGATGACGATGATAGTGGTGACGATAGTGACGATGATAGAGGTGACGATAGTGACGATGATGATGATAGTGACGATGATGATGATAGTGACGATGATGATAATAGTGACGAATGGGTAAGACTTAAAACTGGATGTGAAAAATATGAGTAAAATGGTTCCATAGTATAACTACTTTTTCTTATATATAGTTAGAAATTATTCGACTTGTACAGGTTATATTAATAGATAGATTTTATTGTTACATTTGTTTCCTAATTGTGGTTGTTATTTTTTATAATTCAATTTTTAGAAGTAATCCCTCAATTATTCGAGATTTGTTTAATAAATTTTCATTCGAGTTGAGTTTGAATAATTTGATTGCAAAATAGTTATTACAATATCCAAAAGCGGAACCCAAATTTTAAAAAAAAAAATTAAAGAATGAATATTTTTTAATAAATTAATGCATGTATCCAGAATCCATTCGATATAAGTTCCAAACAAAAATGCTGAGCACATAGTCCTGTAATGTACTTTACAGGAAGTTTCTACTTTTAAAAATTGAGCAAGTATAAAAAGGCAAGTAAAAAAATAATCTGACAGAGAGGGTTTTTAATTAAGAAACTGGCACTAGAAAATTGCATTAAAAAAAAAGTTTCTCATACAAAGTTTATAAGGAACAGATTAAAGCTACGTACATTGGCTCTCTTTTAAGTTCAGCCAAACAAGTATTTTATGGCCCTGTGAATAAGTCTGTATACACTAAAGAATACTGATAATGGCTTTGGCCCTTTCCAGAGTTGTCAAAGCAAATCTCATGCCTGACAAAACCCATACACACACAGACACAAACACAGTTCTCTGCTCCATTTTTTGCTATGACAGCCAAGCATGTCCTCAAACAATTTCCCACATCGAAATTAGAGGAGGAATATTTTTTCTTAATAAGGCCGTAGCTAGAAGAATTACTTGCTGGGCTTGGTAGTGCGAGCTTGTAACCTGAGTGGGAGCATTAAGATGGTGGAACAGTTGGCCTTCCCTTGAAGGCTGGGTCTTGGTTGCTATCTACTGGCTCGCTCGTTCCAAGTGGTGAGTTGTGCCGTGGATCCTCTGCAAAGGCGGAGGCTTCCCGGTCCTTAGATTGGAGGGGGCACCGCGTGAGGCTGGTTTCACAGAGCATCGAAAACCTGTGGAAGGATAACGGGCCGGTGCATCTTCTACCCATGCCACTTACTATATATATATATATATATATATATATATATATATATATATATATATATGTATCTTGCCAATACCATGTATAGAAACAACAAAGAATAATTTGGTGAATATGAGGGTTGAATAACAGATCAGAGCACTCCCGGATCTGCTGAGTAAGTTGTAGCTTGTGTAATGGTTGGGCAGTGACTATATTGTAACCACACAATTAAGCTATTAGTGGCATTTGGAGCCTATCCAACCACAAAGACTAAATAAGTATTCAACAATTATAGATAAATCCATATGCATTTTAAGTTTTTGAGCTAAATTGTTGAAAGTGTAAAGCAAACATTCAACATATGTGAAGTTCATCTCTTCTTCGGGGCCGGCATGTATTTCTGCATTAATTATGTTATTGAGTCAAGTACTCAGAACACAATTAATCACAAAGAAAGCCCGCACTATCATAAGGGAAAAATTGAAACTAACAAAGCATAAGATCCGATCCTCCCAAAATTAATAATAATATATTCTCAGGGAAGAGAAGGTTTTGATTTATAGATATATGAAGATGAGAGAGTTGAGAGATTTGGTAAGTTTTTATAAAAGAGTTGGCATACAAGTCAGGAGAATCATCGTATCTATGCTTCCATGCAAGGAAAACAAGTACTAAGATATGAGCAATAGATGTAATAATGGATGAAAATTATTTATGGCTCTAATTAATTGATCACATTTAGGAGCTGAACAACTGATGGAGGGTAGGATATGTCTCGAATCGAATCCTGAGGTGCTAGATGTATATGGTGAACTCTCCTCTGCAAGTTAAGGTTTTTGAGCAACTCCACTTTTCGATCTTCAGAGAAGTGGGCCGGGGTTAGAACAAACTTCTTCATAAACTAACCTAATTCAGAACATGTTAGAATCCTCTTCCTAGAATGACGAGTAAATATCTTCACATAAATGTGTTTCAGTCACCCAAAAATTAAAGGGCCATCCCATCCCTTCCTATGATATGATGAAATATGAATACTAAATGAAATAGTCGACTCTAGCTAAGACATTAACAACACGTTTGGTTCACGGAATGAATTTTGAAGTAATAGGAATGCTATTCCATAAGGAATGGAATAGGCAAGGAATAGAATAGGAATTGTATTCTATTGTTTGGTTCGCAGAAGGAATAGACTTTAGGAATTATATTACAGTGTTTGGTTGATTTAAGGAATATAAATGAATATGTTTTAAAAGATATAAATACCCTTATAAAAATATGTGATGGTGGCGATGGTGGTGGTGGTGGCGGCGGTGGTGGCGGCGATGGTGGTGGCGGTGGTAGTGATGGTGGTGGTGGTGGTGGTGGTGCTGGGGTGGTAGTGGTGGTGGTGGTGGTGGTGGTGCTGGGGTGGTAGTGGTGGTGGTGGTGGTGGTGCTGGGGTGGTAGTGGTGGTGGTGGCGGTGGCAATGGTGGGGGTGACGGTGGTGGTGGTGACGGTGGTGGTGGTGGTGGTGGCGGTGGTGGCGGTGGCAATGGTGGTGGCGGTGACGGTTGTGGCAGTGGTGGTGGGGGCGGCGACGGTAGTGGTGGTGGTGGCGGTGGCAGTGGTGGGGGCGACGGTGGTGGTGGTGATGGTTGTGGCAGTGGTGGTGGGGGCGGCGACGGTTGTGGCAGTGGTGGTGGTGGTGGCGGTGGTGCTGCTGGGTGGTGGTTCTGGTGGCGGTGGTGGTGGTGGCGACGGTGGCGATGGTGGTGATGGTGGTAGTGGCAGTGGCGGTGGCGGTAGTGGTGGTGGTGGCGGTGGCAGCGGTGGGGGCGGCGGTGGTGGTGGGGGTGGCGACGGTTGTGGCGATGGTGTTGGTGGTGGCGGCGGCGGTGATGGTGGTGGTGGCGGCGGCGATGGTGGTGGTGGTGGTGGTGGCGGTGGCGGCGATGGTGGTGGTGGTGGTAGCGGCAGCAGCGGCGGTGATGGTGGTGGTGGTGGTAGCGGCAGCAGCGGCGGTGATGGTGTTGGTGGCGACGACGGTGGTGAAATAAGATAAATTTATATATAGGATAAAAAAAAATTAGGTTAAAGAAAGGGGTAAAAAAAAAAATAGATTCTAAAATCTATTCCTGAGCGTTCAGTAATAGGCTAATACCAGGGGGGCCCTAGTAATAGCTATTACCTTATTTGAGGTAATAGGCTATTACCAGGAATATTATTCCTGGTAATAGAAATGGTTACCAAACAAAGGAATAGGCCTATTACTGGGAATGCTATGCCATTCCCGGCCTATTCCGTGAACCAAACGGGCCATAATTACCTTAACGAAAACAGGGAAAATGTGCTTAGGTTGTTTAAATAGTTGAGAAACTTGCTATTTAATTTGTGTACAGAAAAGATAACAGTTAATAAAGATTTAAGCATAATCGATCCATCTCAAACCTCAAAAAATGGAATGGCCATATACAAGCTAGCATGATATCAATCTATCAATCAATGTGGTCTCCAAAATAACTCATTTTTTATCCTCAAAGCAAGCATCAATGGTACAATACACACATGACATAATATATCAATTTTTTCTCTTCTTCTTATTTGTTTGTATTCTACCGTAGTTCATACGAACAATGATTGTTCTATTCATCTTAGCACTATGGCATGTCCCAGCAAGGATACGACCTCTGATTGAAATATTACCAGTGAAGGGGCATTTTTATCAATATATGTCCCTAAAATCAAGAAACACAACTTTTTTAGAATCAAGCCCGAACCACATTTGAGATGGAAACACAAATTTTCCACAATTACCTAATCTGCAGTGGGGAATACAAAGAAACACTACAGATTTTGGTATGATAAATAGAATGTATTGCACACATCATAACAGTACAATTAGCTAAAGGCCTAAAGCAGCAGAGATAAAGAACAAATCTGTGGAAAGAAAAATCACAATTGGAGCTGAATCTAATGCAAGATACTGAAGATTCGTTATAGTACGCAGAGGATAGAATGAGCATATTAGAGAATCTAGCAGTACCATTGGATCACATAAATTAGATTGGAGGACACCGCCTGAGGTTGGGTACACTAAAATTATTATTTTTTCTTTTAAATTAATAGGTATATTTAGAAACTAGAATTGGTTACCATTAAAAGAAGAATAGCAGCTAGAGTTATTTAAATTAATAACTCATTCTTTATGCTCAAAGCAATTAAGCATCAATGCTACAATGCACAAAATAAAAGATCATACAAAATGCATATTCCCAAGTAGTTCCCTTCACCAAATTAAAATAAGAAACAAAAACATACAATTTAGGAATTAAAACATGCATTTTGTTAATCTCATCCCATTAAAATACGGAAACTGCAGTGCTAAATATTTGCAACTCTAGCTATTCATAACAAAAGAAACATATCTTCTTGGTTTTTAGGCTTAAAAAAAAACATAACGAAATGATAATTAGCAAAGAAAAATATCCTTTTGTTTGTTAAGTGAATAAAATAATATAATAAAAGGTAAAGTAAGAAAATAAAAAAATAATAAAATCAAAATAATTTGAATCATTCATTTCATGAACGGACATTTTTTTAATTCCTGTTATAGATAGGCCTAACTTTATTGGCTCATATATATATATATATATATATATATATATATATGTGTCCCCGCCGACGCCACAACCGTCTCCCCCGCCGACGATACAACCGCCACCCCGCCGATCTGCAGGTTAGTTTTTTTTTATTTATTTATTTTAAATTGTTAATACATACATACATATATATATATATATATATATATATATATATATATATATATGTGTGTGTGTGTTTAATTATTATTTTAATAAATAAAAAAATGTGATATTTTATGATTTTTATAAATTTTATAAATGTGAAATTGGCTCGATAGTACCTTATTAATTACAAATTAGGTTGTTGGATGAATTAATTAGGTATTTGATTAGTTAGGTATATATAGTAGCATGAATAGTGACTGCTTAGTAAACATCTTACAAGATTCAGACGCATAACTCTGTGTCCAAACTAAGATCTTTCAGTAGGCTTTGATTGCAAGATGTATAGTACAAATGAATATAAACAATTGAAGACTATATTTAAGGCTCTTTACTGCATAAAGAGAACAGCACTGGAAGGATGGATATAAGATAAATTCCTATTATTATATTCCTAATAATAACACAATATTGAATAAAGAAAACAATGAAAAGCAATTCATGCAAATCTGCAAGGTATTATGTCATGTAAACAATGTTGCATACAAATGGTTACTTGCTCCTCATATATGATAGAAGACTTACTCTGTTCCCCATGGCAATGTAATATCTAGGGTGTTTATTAGGCTAACTTGGTTAATAACATAATCAAATTAACTGATTTTGCAAAATGCATCAACTATTAACTCAACTCATTTTTTAAATTAACCGAACCAAAATTTATTTCGATTAATCAGCCCATTAATGAATATTGATTTTGAGTGCTTGCTTAATTGCCGTGATTTAAATAGCAAATCAAGCAAAAATTAGCCTGTAACCTTGCAATTATATTGCCACTGAAACTCTACAGAAGGAATTATATTGCCACTGAAATTATGACAATGTTTCAATTTCTATAGCTTGCCACTGAAATCCATTTTTACTACTATCATTGTTTTCTCGTGGCAATGAATATAAATATGGATTGACTTAAGAAATCCATTTTTGCTAGAATCATTTTTACTAGTATCATTGCGTATCCATATCTGCATAGTACTTAGAGTAGTATTTTATGAATTGGAGTTGGATGTTTAGAAAACGCACTACATTCCCATATATGCAAGGGTTCAAAGAGTTTATACAATGTGTTGAAGAAAATAGGAGTAAAAAGGCAGAGGACTTTATTGTGTGCTCGTGTTGCGATTGTCAGAATTTTAAATGATATCGTAGTTCTGATGAAGTGAAGAGTCATTTGATACGCTGTATCTATCTTGGATCCCTTGCCT